TCTTTGTCAGGCTCTGCCTTCAGCTGCTCTTCCATTGTCCTCCCCTCCTATCCAGTTGCTGCTCCCTGCTATGGAGTCTGGGCTATTATCAGTTCCTATGCTGTGGAACTGACTCCTGTTGCAGTAGATGCTAGGCTGGGCTAGAACCTTAACTCCGATTCAAGGTAACATCAGAGTCTCCTGGTTGTTAACTCCTCTCATGTTGACTCTCCTGATATTCCAGTCTGTAGCACTTCACAGGTAGACCTCAGAAGTCCACGTAGCTTAAGCCAAAATCATACTCAAATCAGCCCTAGTCTTTCACAAGGTGCAATGGAATAAGAACAAATAATATTTTTTACCAGATACACAACTAGGATCAGTCCAAAAATCTAAAATGAACATTCTAATTCTAGGCTAATAGGTCAGGTCCAGGGTCTGAGACACACACCAAAAAACCTTCCAACATGGTTGGAAAGAAACAATGAGCTTGTGCTATAGACAAAACATGATTTTCTCACTCTGAGGCTCCAAGTTTCATAGCAGCCTTTATTCCACACCCTCCAGCACTGGCACATGGGTTTCCTTGCCTTCCTGATGTGGGAGGTGAGCCCCTCCTTGTCTGTCTCTCTGGATTTCAGACTCCAACATGGATTGACTGCATGCTCCTTAAACCCTATTTTGTGTCTTGTTTAGTCTACCTGGCTTCCTCTTCCACTATTCCACGCTGAGTATAGATAAGCATGTGTTTCATACATATGTTTGTTCATCTGGACCACTAGCAACCAGGAGGCCATGATGTTACCTTGGAACTGAAGCAAGGTTCTAACCCACTTCTTATCACAGGAACCTCTGACAACTGGCTTAAACAATGGACTGTTCTTTGACTTTGCCCTTCAACAACACTGTTCCCTAGTCCTACCTGTCTATGCCAGCTGACAATGTTTAACCACCACACATGAGTGAGGCAGGCTTGATAAGTATATGATCCTTAGGAGTCCTTGAATAAGTTAAGCATCATCCTGCTATTTCCATGTCTCGCAGAATCCATCCTAGACCCAGTGATTTTCAAGGCCTTCTCAGTTTCACAATTGATTCTTCTGCTATGATCTTGTCTTGGCACTCTGCACCAGGGCTCCCTCATTCCAAGCTAGACAGACTGATTACTGGTGAAAAACCGTGGCTTAAACTTGGCAGACACAACTGTGCTGCTCACTCCTTGATGCTTCTTGTCCACATTACAGCCATTTCAGATGGACTCACCAGCCTGACTGTGATTCGGACTATGGACATCAGTGGGCAGCAGGGATTCCATTAGATCAGGACATGATATCATTATTTACAAGGTCCATAGTTTCCAAGTACCAATAATATACCAGTGGGTGCCCAGAAGGGTCAACAAGGTTAAAGCCAAGGTACCTAACTTGTTTAAAATAAAGATAACACAACATATTATTTTAAATCTTTTCCGTTGCCAATTTGAATTTACCTAATTAAAGAGGTCCATGATGCCCCAGATCTAACTTAACTGGCTGTTCAATCCTGCATTTTCTCATATGCCACATAGTGAATCTCACAAAATGTGGGTTCATCTGTGACTAGTGACATCGATACTGAATGAAGCACAAAGTTATTTTAAGTATCTTTTCATCCCAACCCAAATAGTAAATAATTTTAGTTCTACTTAAGCTCAGTGTCAGAGAATTGTGAGCATTTGGGTAAAAAAAAAAAAAACCTATCTGGAGCCGTGGCGGTAAGAAAGAATGTGGTAGGTGATCCACAGATCCCTGTTCTCTAGGAAGCAATTCTGATGACAGAACCTACCAAATAACTTGAGAACAGAGACACTCATTTTTGCAGATTTGTAGCCCCTTTACAGGGGCTAATATGCAACAACAACAGCAAAGTCTCCCAAAAGGTCTCTGAGATGGGGAAGCTCTCAGACCTGAGCCAGATGGAGCGGTCATTCATTAATTCACTAAATATTAAATACTTCCTTTCTGCAAAGCCCTCTGCGAGGTCCTGTGGGAAGATAGCAAGAACAAGCCATGGTCCATCTGCTCATGGTGCATATCGACTAGCTGAGGAGATAAGACATGCACACAAATCATTGGATATTGAACTCCTTCCAGACAAAGGCTCCTTTCCCTTTTTGTGCCCCCAGCACCCTGAATTGATCTATACTTTTTTTTTTGGTGGTTCTAGGCCCATGGCTCTCTCTATTTCAGGAACTCCCAGTGAAGAAACTACCACTATCCATGCAAAACGGTAACTCATCTTCAATGTAGCTAGTCATCTAGAGCACTTACAAAGTTGAATGAAGGATTCAGCCTCATGTAGGGAGTTGTCTCAGAGTATGTGGGTCCCTCTCATCCTTTAGGATGTCAGATACTGTAGATTACATGAAGCCTGTCCTAATCACCCCACCTACTAGTGCCTTCCCTCTCCAAAAACTCTGCATTTACTTTGGGTGTTGTGTCCCAAAAGTCTTGGTGCAGCTTTAAGTTCATACAGTTTATTAAAAATATTACATAGCTATTATTTAAGTTCTGTAATAAACCAAGTCTATTATTATTTTTGGGTGGAGCAGCTAGGTGGCAAAGTGAATTGAGCACTAAGCCTGGAGTCAGGATACACTTGAGTTCAAATCCAGCTTCAGATACTTACTTGCTGGGTGATCTTGGGCAAGTCACTTAACCCTGTTTGCCTCAGTTCCCTCATCTGTAAAATGAGCTGGAGAAGGAAATGGCAAACCACTGCAGTATCATTGCCAAGATAAATCCAAAATGAGATCACAAAGAGTTGGACACAACTGAATAACAAAGCTATTATTTTTGCTATGTAATGAACCAAGTCTTTTGAGATACCCTGTGTATGTATTTAATAATTTTGTATTTATATCACATATATTTTATAGGTACTTGTTGGCTCCCCCATTATAACATAATGGATTCAAGCAGGTATTGTTTCACTGTATCCCTAGTGCCTAGCATAGTACCTGGCACATAGGAGAAACTCAATAAAGGTTTGTTGTTTGATTCATTGCTATATATCAGAGATAGAACATAAACTGTCTTGAACGCCCTCACTCTGAGGCCAGCTCACCAACCACTATTCAATACCAAATCTCTACACACAGAAGGCATTTAGCAAATATTTGTTGAATTAAAATAAACTATAAAACAAACTCCTGAGGAGAAGCAGGAGAGAGGGGGTTGCCTTTGAAGTAATGATAATGGCTATTATTTATAAAGGGCTTTATGTTTTGCAAAATGCTTTTCAAATATCATCTCAATTTATCCCACAACAACCCTGGAAGGTAGGTGCTCTTATTGTCACCATTTTATAGAGAAGAAAACTGAGGCTGAGAGAAGTTAAATAACTTGCCCGCAGTCACAAAGCTAGGAAGTATCTCAGGCCGGATTTGGACTCAGGTCTTTCTGAACCTAGGTCAGGCACCCTTTCCAAGTGTACCACCTATCTGACTCAAGTAAGGAAAGAATATCTAGGTTTAAGACTTTCCTCTAATCTATACAATCTATATGTATCAGTGCTCATGGGTCAGCCAGGTAACTCCCTAAGACTCTAAGATACAGACAAGTTGTCCATCTACATCAATAGAAGATGTTTCCATACCCAAAGCTCCCCACACTAATGAAGCCACAGGTTCAAGCCAAAAGGCCGACAGACTCTTCAGCCTGGTATTTAAGGCTCTCTATAATCTGATTCCAGCCTATCTAATTTCACATTACATCCATTGGTGCATTCTATGTTTTAGCTTTTTGTTGTTTAGTTGTGTTCGACTCTTCATGACCTCAACTGGGGTTTTCTTGGCAAAGAGACTGGAGTGGTTTGCCATTTCCTTCTCCAGCTCATTTTACAGAGGAGGAAACTGAGCCAAATAGGGTTAAGTGACTTGCCCGGGATCACACAGCTAGTAAGTATCTGAGGACAGATTTGAACTCACATAGATGAGTCTTCCTGACTCCAGGCCTGACACTCTACCCACTAAGCTACCTAGCTGCCCTGTGTTTTAGCTTACCTGGACTATTTGCTGTTTCCCCAAAACTGACATTACGTCTATTTCCTTCTTGGCTTCACAGAAGATTGTAGCTGACATCTGAAATGTGCTACCTCCTCATCTCCACATTCCCAAATCTTTATCTTCCATCAAGGGTTAGCCCAGGTGCTATTTCCTCATTAGGGCTGGCTTCAAATTATCTTGTATTTCCTTTTCTGTGTATATGTTGTATTTCCCCAGTAGAATTTAGGCTCTGAGAACAAAGACTTTTATTTTTGCTGATTTGTTTCCGAAGCATCTACCACAGTGCCTTACGTAGTAGCACTTTACTAAATGGTGTTGAATTGAATTGGATTGGATTGAATTGAATAATACAAGGTAGAATGTAAATGGACAAGAAAGGAGGCACAGAGGACTAAGTGAATTCAGTGAAGCCTTCAGGAAAGACTTCACGCAGCCAATGGTGTCTTATTATTTCTAGAGGGTAGTGGAGAGGCAGGGAATCATGGAAGTCTTCATGGAAAAGACAGCATTTGAGTCAGGTCTTAAAGACAGCATGGTTCAGTAGGCTAGAAGTTAGGAAATCTGGGTCCTATTCCTAACGCTGCCACCAACTAACTGTGAAACCTTAATTAAGCAAGTTAACTCTCCTGTCTAGGTCAGAGATTCCTCATTTGTTAAGTGATAGGTGGGAGGAGAGGTATGCATTAAGTAAAGAAAACCTAAGGTTACTCCCAGCTCTATTATTCTAAGTGGCACTGGTAATAAATTTTGAGTGTTAGGTAGAAATTGGATAAGCAAAGCTGCAGGGATGGGTGAACCCCGCCCCCATGTTATAACAACTGATTCACATTAAGAAAGTGAGTGATTAACAGGTAAGACAGCTTAATTTCAAACTGCCATTTGCCTTCCAGTTCGTCCTCATCTACTTTTTGTCTCCTCCCCTGGCATCCCTGAAGCCTTGGTCTGTTCATTTATTCACCATCATTCACCATGATGTTCCTGTTCCTGTTGGTGACCTTCTGGTACCAATGATGCCTACATTTTTTCTCCTGATCCAACCTTGCTCCACCCTTGACCTTAACATTTGGACTTCTGACTTCACTTACCTCACCCCTACCTTTAAGGACCCTTGACACCATTCTATGCACCAGCAGCTTGACCAACACAGACCACCTTGTACCTTTGAGAGAGGTAAGTATTAACTGGCCTTTTAGGAGATGTACACAATAGGAAAGAACATTCTAGGCATGAGGAGCAGCTTAATAGAGGGCACAGGATTAAGAGAAGGGAGACTTTAGCAGTGGATAATTCCCCCTACTTCCCAATCCTTGCCCCCACAATGTTTTGTTTTGTTTTTTCTGGGATATGTGTCTTTTTCAATGACATAAATTTGGGACATTTAGGGGATGAAGAAACACCACTAAGCAAAATGAGTAAAGTTGAATTAAATCATGAGGAATCTCTAACTCTCACAGATTTCAGAATGTTAAAGTTGGATAAAGTTGTTCAGGCCTTTAGTTTTGCAAGATGGCAAATAACTTGTCCAAGATCACACAACCTCTAATTAAGCAGAGTCTGGGCTTGAAACTAGTCTTCTTACTCGACTAAATCATGCCTCCTTTCCCATAGCCTCATCCTGTAGAACTTCTTCTCCTCACTCCTTTTCAACCCTTTCCAGCTCTTCTCACCTCCCCCATCCCGCCATTCCTTTCTCATTTCTTCTTGTCTCTCCACATTTCTAAACCCTGTCTTCTGCTACCACTGAGATGAGGCTGGGTAAGGTAAGGTAGGGAGCATCAGCCTGGTGGCCAAGGGGCTCTCTCAACCTCCAGGCTTGGACTGTAGAGCCTCTGCTTGAGACCTAGCTTTAATTCAGACAGAGTGCTGCCTCACCCCCTCATCATCCAGTGACACCTGGGTGAAAACTATGCCTTCCTTTCTACCTAAGAGACTTGATCAGGAAGTTCAGCTCTCCTGGTGCTGCAAACCCACTCAGAGGCATATGCTTCCCAGAAGCCTCCAGAAGCATCATAAAAAAGTTTACTGATTGCAGGAAAAGGTCTCCAGCACCCCTCCTTCTGACCCACCCCTCAGCCCCTACCTTCTGCACCACCCCCCAGCCCAGCTTTCAAAGGCCACCCTTAGACAAAGCAAGTGACACTGAAAACAGCCATCTCCCCCCTGCCTGCCCACTGATAATAATGGGCCGAGACACTTTTATTATCATTATTAATTAGCACTTTCAAGCAATGGAATTAAATCAATATGGTGGACTGAAACTAATTTTAACAAGCCATTGAGATCAATCATTGGGACTTTTATCTACATAAATGCCACTAAACTCAGCTCGTTAGTGTAACATTAGCTGGAAAGAAAAAGAAGGGAGACTGGCGGGGTTTTAATTAGGAAGACATAAACCGAGCCACAATTTTTCTTCTTTGATTTGCTTTTAATCTCGTCTGCAAAGCTCTTCTGGTGCTGCCCAGTCTGATAATCAGTCCCAGACCACTTCAGTGGGAAGGGAAGGAGAGGAGACCAGGAGGAGAAAGGAAGGGCAAGTGTGAAGAGAGAGATTCTTGGGCCCCCCCTCCATTCTTCCTGCAGAGGACTGCTCTCCTCCCCCAATCCCCAAATCCCTATCACCACTGTCTGAGCCAGAGAACGAAGGGCAACCCAGACACTGCCCCCAGCTCTCTCAACCTAGACTAACCGCTGGGGACACAGAGTGGCTTGGTAAGCTAACTTAGGCATGACATCTCCCAAGTGTCCCAACATTTAGTGGAAAGAAGGGTCAGACTTGAAGCCAGAAAATCTGGGTCCAAGTCCCAGTTCCATTCCTTACTTGCTGAGTGATCTTAGGTTAGTCTTCCCTCCACACCTAGCACACGGTAGGCATTCAGATATTTATGGATTGACTAAGTCTCAGCCCCTGCCCTGCTAACTAATCAATCTGTCATGCTTCCAATTAACGAATTAACAGCTTCCATAGATGGGCCAGTGCTGGACTGAAGAGGTGCAACGACCTTCTCAGCTCCATCAGGAAGTCAATCTCCTAACTGTGTCTTTATTCAAGCTCTGTTTCCTACACCTACTGTGGATTACTCTTCTCTCTGCCTATCCAAATCCTACCCATCCTTCAGGGCCCACTTCCTGTCTTTCATCAAGGCTTCCCTGCTCACGCTCATTCACATTGATCTCTTTCTTCTCTGAACTCTTAATGCACTTATTGTCTTGAAACTCCTAATACACTCATTGTAATTACCATTTATTTTGGTAATTAACCATACACAGAGTCACCTCATTCATCTAACTTTTTCAGGGAATAAGGCATTTTTATGAGTCAATTTTCCATATAAGTGAAAGTTTGCTCCTTTAAACACCAAAAAATCATCTTTTTTCTGTTTTTAATGGAAATCTCTCTAAAGCATGTTGCATATGTCCATTCTTTAGTAAAGAGAGCCCCTTGATATTTCATTAGTGTGGGTCCTCCCTCTAACAACCCGAGTGGCAATCTTCCTATGCAATGGTGATTTGTTATTGCCAAAATAGTTCATCACCTGGTGACCAACTTTCAGATGATAACTTAGCTAGGCTCATCATTGAACAACAGACAATGTTCATTGGTGGGCCTGCATGTAAAGGCCTTTCTAGCTTGGTATGAACTGTCACGGTTTGTACCTCCACTGGCAATATAGTTTTTGAGAACCCAGGGCCACCTCTATACTATGCTGAGGCATCAGTGGATTTTAGTGAAAGTAGTAAACTTAGTATGCAGAATATAATTTAATTCAACACTTATTCATATTTTCTGAATGATTCAGGTTCATCATTATGAATGACCTTCACTGTATTGCTGGTGTCAGCAACATACTAGTTTCTTGACTCTTGGCCATCTGCGTCATCACAGACATGAAATGTCCTCAAGGATTATTGAGATGAAGAGAGCTACAGAGACAACTAGGTGGTACAGGAGATACAGCATAACACTTGGAACCAGGAAGATCTGGGTTCGAATTCTAACTCAGACATTTACTAATTTTGTGAGCCTGGACAAGTCATTTAACCTGTGTCAGTTTCCTCCCCTGTAAAAGGAAGATAATAACAGCGCCCACCTCCCAGGGTTGTTCTGAGTATCAAATGAAATGACATATTTAAAGTGCTTTTAAATTATTATTTTTATAATTATTTTGTTATATACTTTAGATCTAAAATAATGTAGTATATATTTGTTATATATTTTATAATTATTTTTATTATTTATACTTATTTTTATCCCACTACTAATGAGTCCCCAAATACTGTGGTTTTCTAATTGGTCTTTCTTCTTGTCTCTCACTCTCTGCTATTAATTTCCACTGCTTTTGGTTGTCAGGGAAAGTCACATACCCAACTTAGTTAAATCAGTAACCTTGTCTTCATACACAATATTCAGTCATTAATTAGACTCAGAAATGCTGAGTGTAAATCTATTCTTCCTGATAGCTATCTTCTTATATGTCCAGTAGTCTTTCCCCTTCACTTAGGGCTTCCAAATTGTGGTCAAGAAGGTTACTGGAAGTTTGACTCCTGGAAAGTGAGATGTTAGTTACTATGCCATCATATATTTGATCTCTCATATCTCTTTCAAGTCTAAAGTCTATAGTCCTAATGATAATCATGTGTATAAATTTCCTGTCTTCCCAACTAAATTGTAAGAGTCATGAAAGTAATCACTATATCATTTGTATATTTCATATCCCCAAAGTACCTAGCAGAAGACTAACGTGGACACTCTAAATATTTGCTGAATAGAATTGAATTGAATGGTACTATCTGTGTATGATTTCCCAGTCCTTCTCACCACTAGCAGAATGAGGTTCAGCCATCTTTGTCCACTTAAAATTCATTAGCACTGAATTTTTTTAAAGGCCTGCTAGCCCACTGTTCTTCCTGAGGTGGTGAGATGGTGGGTTAGATTCACCTCAGATGACCTCAACCTGGACCTGACCTGGTTCTGGGGGACTCTATAGGTGAATCCCTCGATTTGTATCCCCAGCATTTAGCACAGTGCATGGCTATTTTTTATGTTTATTGACTGACTGCTCCTGGTCCTTTGAGCATCTTTTTTCATATACCAGAAAAATATCATTCTAGTTCCCTGAATCGGACAGAGCTGAAAAGGAACTAGTCAAAATGCTTTGTAGTTATTTCTAGGGGCCAAATACATTTTTATGATGTTTATAATGGGTTTTTTTCTAACTTTCTGTCATTTCTATGTCCTTTTGTTTTTCTAGTACCATTGGCCTTCCATTCCCCTATCCTACCTCCAAATTCTCAGTTATCTCAACTGTGAAATGAAGGGGTTACATAGATAATCTGTTAAATCTCTTAGGTCTCCTTCTGGCTCTAAAACCTGTGATCACCCACATTTCTATAGTGCTTTGTGGTTTACAAAACACTTCTTGCAACCACTTTATGAAGGAGGCAACACAAGTATTACTATGTCCATTTTACAGATAAGGAACTGAGACTGACAACAGTTAAAATGGCCACATATCTGGTAAGTTTCAGAGCCAGGGCTCAAACCCTGCCCCTTTGATTCCTTCCATTGTACCCAGAGGTGTGCCGAAGCTAGCTCAAACCAGCCCTCCAGAGTCAATTAAATTTTCTGAGAATATTTATACCTTGGAAATCAGCAAACACCACAAATTAGGATTTGATTTACTTTTTTAGTGATCATCTAGACTTTTAAAAATGATGGAGAAAATACTGATCATGCATATTTTAAAGGTGTGTCATTTACATTTTTTTCAGAGCTGATTGTTAAATATTTACTAGCACACCTCTGATAGCACCACACTTATACAAAATACACACACACACACATACACACACCAACACGAACCTACACTCAAGATGCTTCTATTTTATTCACATACATGTATACTGAAAAGAATGGAAACCCATATTTAAGGTGTTTCCTTTACCTCCCATTCTCAGATTTTAACATTCTAGTTTCCTCTCCATTCATTATCATTATATATCATTCACTGTCCTCATTACAACAACCAGCTATCAGCCTTCAAAACCCTGAATTAAACATCTATCATACTTGCTATATGACTGCCAAATGTGAGCAATACTGGTTACCAATGTCTACACAAGGATCCCTGAGAGAAGGAAGAGGTTTTCCCTAGCATTTATGCTGTCTC